TTTCTTAAGGTTAAATTCATAATTTTGAGAACCCTCAGACTGTACTCCTTTTTCACAATCACATTATATAAAAAGTTGGATACATACACATATGTATGCATACACACCCACACATATATATTCTTAGCATATTTATAACTGGACCAATAGACAGCATCATGATAAATGGAGAAAAGATTAAAATTGTGGAGGAATTCGTTTTATGTAGATGCACAACTCATGGAAACAGCAGTCAATAAATCAAGCAACCTATTGCACTGGGTAAATGGGCTGCCCAAGACCTCTTTTTTCTTTTTGGTTTTTTGGCTCTGTAATCTTTTTTTTTTTTTTTAACATTTTATTAGGGGCTCATACAACTGTTATCGCAATCCATACACACATCAATTGTGTAAAGCGCATTTGTACATCATTCTCAAAACATTTTCTCTCCACTTAACCCCCCGACATTAGGTCCTCATTTTTCCCCTCCCTCCCCACTCCCCCCTCCCTCATGAGCCCTTGATAGTTTATAAATTGGTATTTTGTCATATCTTGCCCTGTCCGACGTCTCCATTCACCCACTTTTCAGTTGTCTGTCCCCCAGGGAGGAGGTCACACACAGTTCCATGTAATCGATTCCCTCTCTCCTACCCATTCTCCCTTTACCCTCCCTGTTTCGCCACTCACACCACTGGTCCTATAGGGCTCATCCGCCCAAGACCTCTTTAAGTATTGAAGAACAGAGATGTCACTTTGTGGATTAAGATGTGCTTGATCTAAGCCATGATACGTCCATTCAACTCACTTGCATGTGGACGTTAGACAATGAATAAGGAAGGCTGAAGAATGACCGATGCATTTTAATTACTGTGTTGGTTAAAAATATTAAAAGCGCCAGGAAAATAAACAAATTTATCTTGGAAAAAATTCAGCCAGAATGCTCCTTGGAAAAGTGAGCAGCTAGGCTTCATATCAGTTATGATATGAAGTTTGGACATGTTATCAAGAGAGACAAGTCTCTAGAAAAAGGACAACATGCTTGATGAAGTGGACAGTCGACAAACAAATACAGTGGAGGCAACAAGGATGAAAGAGTGGTGCAAGAGCAGGTGGTAGTCTTTTCCTAGGGTTGCTGGGAGTCAGAGCCTAACCTCAACGATAATCACAAAGAATCGACTGCCAGTAAATCATTTCTGACTCAGGATGAGCCCATGTGTTTCCTAGTAGTAAGGAATTCTGTAGGGATTCTTCTGGTTGTAATAATCATATTTTCTTTTGAATCAGATCTCAAAATTTGGGGATCACTGCTTGTACCCACCAGGCCTTCTTTAATATAGTAAGTAGCAAACATTAGTTGAGACGGGCATAGGAGGTGTGTCATAGCAGAGGAGATGCTGAATCCTAAGCTTCCTTTGCTTGCAAAGACCTGAGCTGAAGTCGCATACCCAAGGCTGTCTAAATTATTTCCAAGGTGTCTGTGAGCAAGCACTATTTTAAGAAAATCAATTTCCCTATATTAAGCACCCATATTTACTTTTCCCTAAATTGATCTGCCCAGGTAGACTAGAACAAGATAGTTCTCGCCACCCATCATTGTCAAGCTACTTTATAAAAAGGGACTTCCTCTCATGCAATGTGAATTTTCTTAAAACATTTTATAGTTAGTTCGAATAATGATAGACATCAAAGAATTAAAATAATGTGGTCTTGATACAAAGAAAGACAGACAGCCCGAGGCTATAGAATAGAGAGTGGAAGAAAAGCTTCAACTGATTTCTTTGATAAAGGTGGTGTCTCAGCTTCATTAAGGAAAGGACAGTTCGTTTGTTGCTCTTTGCTTCATTGCAGTTCACAGACATTGCATCAAGACACAAAGGGTAAAGAGCATGCTATCCTTTTCCTTGTTCTTGTGCTTGAGATCTTGTTGACCATCTTTCTCTTTTGTGTTGCCCAACTACTTTACCAAGCAAGATGGCCTCTCTGCAGAGACAGACATAGGCTCACCATCCTTCTTTCTAAGGAACCTTCTGGATGTACATTTTCCATGGGTTTTTAGGTAGTCCATGGTACTTTCAATATTCTTCCCCAGCACCATATTTAAGAGAAAGGAATTCAAGGATTTCAAAATGTTCCATTTTAAGTATTGTTTTCTCTTATAAGGTTTACAGTTTTGTTAAAGAATTATGGCTACGTTATTCTATTGCCTAAGATAATAAGGGGAATTATTTTATTACTGAATTATTTTACATGGGCTGTTTACTTTATTTGTTTATACATGCACTTAGATAAAACTTATAAGCACTGGATCTGTCCCATACTGTTTGGTAATGATCTCATATATTCTTGGTTTATACTCCTTAGGATTTTACTATCCAAAGAATATCATAGAATATGCAAACACTCACCTTTCATGCATCTTCTGTCTCACATCATCTTTTTACATTAAACATCTATACACTTTTGCAGAACACCACTTCCTTCAGGAAACAAAGGACAAGATGGACTTTAAAATACAATATTTATTCAAGTTCACAATTTCATTATCAGTTCCCATACATCTGCTTTTCTTTCCTCAGCTTTTTTCCTGCTTATCCTTTGTCATAACACTTACAATATTATGTTTCAATTCACATACACATGCACACAGGTAATTATAAATAGAGACACTTATTGCCTATTTTAATGCAAGTGCTATATTCAAGGAAAGTTGTGAAAACCTACAGTGTTTGCAGTAAAAGAAATTGTAGCCTCGCAGGTGGAAAAAGAGGCAATTATCCTAAAATAGGACAGATACAAGGCAAACTAAACGACATTTTCATGAAGGAAGAAATAATCGTGGATGATTTGGAAATCATTGCTGCAGATTATTTTCCAACCAAACCAACCCACTGACGTTAAGCTGATCCCCACTCACAGGACCCGATAGGTAATTTCCAAGGTTGTAAGTGTTTATGAGAAGAGAGAGCAGAGTTCATGATGCTGGGTTTTCTCCTGAAGAGCAGCTAATGGGTTTGCACAGTCAACCTTGCAATCTTGCAATGAATAGTTCAATGATCACCTGATAGCACCACAAGGGCTCTTGTAGATGATAATTAGCTCAAAGCAAATATCTGATTACATCAAGCAAGCCAACATTGAATTCTTTTTGACAGAAAGAGTTTAGAAAAGATACTCAGATGATCAAAAACAATCATGCTAATTATGAAACTTTTATTTTGCTTTAAATAAGTGAGCTATATTTGAAAAATTCATTATGTATTAAATCTAATTATTGGTCTACTAGTTGAAAGGCTATGTGCTAATATCAGAAATGAAAATCCTAATTGATCTTACAGTGATTCTGTTGCTTTGGGAAGAATTTAATTTATATAAACAAAGCGCTGTTATTCAAATGAATTTTAATTATTTTTAATCTTAAAAATAGTTATGAAAAGATATCTAAATATTAATTTTAAATTAGCGATTTCCTTTTACATTTTAAATCTTGCTGTTTTTATAGGTATAACATCCAAAGGACCTATTTGCTCAATTTATTCATTAGGCCAGTAAATTATTGAGAGAAGACTATATGAGATCTTTGTAATATTTTGGATGCATATATCCAAAGTATGAAGTAATTTCACTGAATATACAAAAAATATAAAAGGATGCTATGTAATTATTTCAGACTCATTAGATTAATCAATTTGTTCAATTTGTGAAAGTTGCTGATTATAATGGATTTTAGGTAATGAGACTGGTTTTACTTTAAATCTTATTTAACTTTTGAGAATGTGTATGTGTGGGTGTATACAAACAGAATAATATGTGTATTTTCAGCATATTTATGAAATCCTTGAAGTATATCTACTTATATTTTACTCCTAACTACTATGGTTACTACAGTTAGCGCTATTGTTATTCAGTAGTTAAAACTGCTATTTAGGGAGCTACATTATCCCTTCAGGTTTTTTTTAAGATTTTAATATTGTTGTTTATAATGTAGCTACTATAGGTTAAAAGGATGCTTGGTCTTTCAGTGCTTGAGTGCTCTACTCTCCTGTGAACAGGGAAGTCTATGCTAACTGCCAGTAGCTTTGCAGGAGAAAATATCTGACAATCTACTCAGGGGAAAATTACAATCTAGGAAACTCGATGGAGCAGTTCAATGCTGTCCTACTATTAGGATGACCATGAGTTAGAATCAGCTCCATGGTATACAAAAACAATATTCTAGACCTTTTCCCTAAGAGCCCTGGTGGCAAAGTGGGCTGTGTGCTGGATTTCAACAGTTTGAAACCACTGGCTTGCTCCACAGGAAGAAGTAAAGCAATGCAGTCTTGGGTGCCCATAGGGGGCAGATCTACCCTGTCCTATAGGGTAGTCAACACCATGGCAGTGAGTTTGGAATTTAAGTTGTCCCTAAGAACACAAATACATTAACTTGTTTAAGAATTATTCAAAATGTTTCTGAAAGCTATTAATCTAGAGTCTATATATTTGTGTTTATAGACCCAATAATATGCAAAGTATATTGCAGTATATGATGTTTTATATTGAAAGTAATGGAAGTAGGGATCTAGTTTGCTGAATGTTAGTGTATACATTTCTTTTTTCATTTATAGTGTTCCAGGTTTCTCAGAAAATATTAGGACAAGTTGTATATAAAGTCTTTATAAACATGATTTCATTTATCTGACAAAGGATTTCATAGCTCCTACATAATTTGTGTAACTGTATAAGATTTTTGCCTCTGTAATTCTCAATTTGATTATGAGATTTCTGTTGCATCTGTCATGGGACTATTAGTGAAATTTACATATATGATCATTCCTTTGTGGCTTCTTAAGCATAGAAATATCTAATAAAATATGTAACACATCGTGCATATGTATCTGTTTAGACAGGAGAGAAAGCCTGGTATTGTATGCTTAACCAGCTCAGTGTCACACAGCAGGCCCTTGCCTTGAAACTCAAGCATGGTTTGATCCTGTAAGTAAAAAAATAATGATGATGTTAAAAATGTGTTTCTTCTTCTCTAGCGGTCACTTGCACTAGTATTGAAACACAGCTTGCTGAACATGTCATCTGGAGACTGGTTTCGGGATCCTTAAATGAATATGGAGCTCAAGTAGTGCTGAGCTGTAGTCCTGGTTATTATTTAGAGGGGAGAAGGCTCATCCAGTGCCAAGCTAATGGAACATGGAGCGTAGGAGACGAGAGACCAAGTTGCATGGGTAAGTAATAGAGGTATTTTCCATATTTGATAGGTCTTCAAATTATTGGTATCACTTGCCCCTCGAATGTAAATTATGAAAATTTATCATATTCTTAAGGATTTAAAGTAAATTCAAATGGCATTCATTTTAAATACAGTAAAATATATGCATTTTATATGATATTTAAATATGTGATTGCTTGAGTAGATTATAAATGAGGCTTTTCCAAATTAATAATACTATTTTGTAAAATTTACATTATCAAATCTCAAATTGGATACACAATATAGTCAAATACATTCAAAATACATGTCTTATTTCTTCATTGATATTGAAAAGTTCTGATTAGGATTTGGGGAAATAATATTTATGCTGATGTTGTTGTGTTCTCATAGACTGCCTAGAAAATGGGATTATTCTTCTCCTAGGTAACCTTTGAGCTTCATGCTAAATATGAATAGAAAAATAAAACAATAGTAGTATTGTTAAAAGCACTATTTGATTCAGAAATATTTGATATATAATCTTAGTTGATTGTTCACAGTGGATTATCATGGACAGAAATAAGTAATTAGACCAGTGTAACTCTGATAAAACACACAGCTGTGTAAGAATAAACCAAAAGGGAAAGATGGAAGAGATAGTGCTTAGCTGTCTTTGGTAATCATTTGCATTCATTTCTTAATAAAGCAAATGTCAATTCAACTTGTACCAGAAATGATTTACCAGGAGCAAAAAGAGACGCGTTAAGAAGGACCACTTTCCTCAAGGATCTCGTTTTTCGTATTTCTGTGGCATGCACTGCCGTTCAGCAGGGACAATCCCAATTGAAGCTCATTTGCTGGGGAGTTATTAATTGTTCCCTCACTACCCTGAAATAAGTCTTGATTTGAGTGATACAGCCCTGCATTTATAGTGATTCTATCTTATGTAGTAAGTGCTCTCATTCACCATGGTTAAACACAATCATGCTCACATGCAAGGATCAGTTTTGTGATTTAGAGATTCAAGTTAACTAAACCAATTTAGAGAGTTGAGAAGTATTAGAAGCATTTGATGTATGCTATTTCTGACTCAAGGTTTTCCATCGACATTTTCTTTTCCTTTGCGTTTTCGGGGATGGGGTTGGAGGGAGGTCAGTTTAAATAAAACTGGATCTCAGGTCAGGTATTCTTTTGAAGACGTCAGCTTGGTGACGTCAGGGAAGTTTCCCTCTTCTCTGGTGGACTGTCCATCTTGAGGCCGTTTTAGGATTCTCTCTACCAAAGGATTTCAAAAACACCTTCATTTTACCTTGTTTAAAGAAAAGGCAAGAATTTAAAAAATTTACTTATGAATCCATTTAAATTCCTATCAATTTATTTTATAATACTGGAAAAAGTATTACATTTTAATGTAACTATTTTAATACAAAATAAAACTTTCTTGTGTGTATATGTGAGGCAATATCTTTTTTTTTTTGCACCACATAGGGGGGCATAATCAGATAATCAGACCCTCCTAGGGGGTTCCTTCACCACATTTGGAGAATAACTTCTCCATAAAAATATCACAAGGTGCAGAATTTAAGACATTTATTATCTTAGATAATAAATGACATTCACACCATTCATAATCAAAACAATGAAAGGAACTAAATATACATACAAGACAATCATTGGAATTTTTGTCCAAAATAATATAATTCTTTCACATTTTCTTCTTGAGTACTAGTGTGATATAGATATATAATTATATGTATCTAATTCTATAAATGCAATAATGCTGAATTAACATTTAATTAAAATTTATTGTGAAATTATATATGGTAGTATATATAATTACATAAATAATTTTGCAATCAACTTTAGCTCCATGTTAAGTCAGTATTATCACTATTATTTAAGGCATACCTTTGGCACCTCAGGATGTACATCCCCTCCTTTCTCAAAAGTCACCCGAAAATAACAGAATTGTTATGATGACAATCAGTAAATACCTTTGCAAATTCACCCTTCCCTCAAAGTAATGTGAAAATAGTGTTAGACTCAGAGGGAGACAAGGACCCGTGCTGGCACGGTTGGTAAAGGACTGGGCTGTTCACTGGAAGCTCCCAGTGAGTTTGAACCCGTTGACATCTCAATAGAGAAAAAAATCTAGGCATTTGCTCCTTTAAGAATATCAGCGTAGGAAACCCAGTGGGGCCATTTTACTCTGTCCCTTGGTGTCACCATTCATTAGGATTGACTCAGTGGTGTACCTCAACTTATAAAAACCACTGCCATTAAATTGATTCTGACTCAGCAATTCTAGATGACAAAATAGAGCTGCATCTTCTAGCTTCTGAGAGGGTAAACAGCCTCTTATCTACCTTATGTTATATATGGATACACACACGCTGTATTAGTTATTTTTGTCTATAACACATTGTTTCATGTTATATTTAAATTGTATTATATTTATTTCTCATAGTCCCTACCTTGTCAACACACACTTACTATAGCTCTTGATAATAGTCTATTTTTTAACTTTTTATTTAATTGTACAATAAATTATAGGAAGTTAAACTGCAATTTAGTTTCTCACATGAATTTAAAGGAAATCGTTTTGCAACCATAATTTGCCCCTAGTGATAACTTTATGAGCACCAGAGAAGAAACACAGCCGGTGTCTTCCTTTTATTGGGTCTAGATCAATAAAATCTTCAAATGAATCATCATCTAGATTATTGGCATAACCAAGAGTTTAGAATTTTATATAGATATGAAGTATATGTAAATATATATACACATATATGAAATATATGTAAGTATATGCGTGTGTGTGATGGCCTATGTTTTTTCCTTCAAATGACCCTGTTCACAGACTCATATTCTCAACAAATATGTACCGAGATCTGAAGGGGCATCTGATTTCACAATTAGGCGAGCCTACTCACTGGAGGTTTCCTTTGAACTGGCTTGCATTCAAAGACCTTGGCTGTATCCCACTGGGCCTAATAAAGCAACTGCAGCCTCTGGCCAAGGCGCTCTTGTTGGTTACTCATTGGGCTGCTAGCCACAAGGTCAGCAGGTTGAAACCCGCAGCCCCTCTGCAGAAGCATGATGAGGTTTTCTGCTCCTGCAAAGAGCTTTCTCCGAAACCCGCAGGGGCAGTTCTACCCTGCCCTGAGCGTCACCAGGAGTCAGAACCGACTCATTGACACGGAGTGAGGCTCGGTGCCATAATACATGCCTAACCAATGTCAAGTATCTTCTGAGGCAGCAGGTGTCACTTCCACGGGTTCCTGTTCTTTTATGTGCATTTCATATAAAATGCTTTTTAGTGCTTTCTCATACTCTTCATTCAGGCTGCAAGCTCTTTAGGGTTGGGGTTGGTTTTTGTTTTGTTTTATTTCTAGATAGAACCCATTTAATAGAACCTACTCTTAAAGGTATAATTATTTATTACCATTACCCAATAAGCTCATCTTCCTCACATGGACGATGAGCCTGCAGATTGGAGAAACAGGTCACAGTGTGATTGATTTGTAGGTAAAAGAATTCAGCATAAAGATAAGTAAGAAAAGAGACAAGAAGTTTTACTCCGGGAAAGAGAGAAATGACTTGTAATCCACCTTAATAATGAAAAAATAGACGGTTGTCAGCAACCTCGAAAGAAGCCCAGCTGAGGAAGCCTTCCGGACAGCGTCAATTGAGCAGCTGCTCGGTGCAGAGGAACGTCCTGGGTGCCACTAAGTCTTCCAAGAGTTCAAAGGAAATACTTCAAAGTGGGTTTGAATCCACTTCTAGTGGCATGATAAAAAGAAAATTAAAGAATTCAGTTTGAAAGCTTGAGAAGTGATAAGAACATGAAAATAAGGCTTCCTCTTTGATTTTAAACAAAGGTTATTTTTAGTTGTGGGGGGTTCTCCCTTTCAATGAGACTAGCTTTTCCAAATTAGTGCTGCTCTCTTCATGGCTGCACGGGGTTCACTGCCAAAGGAAACTGGCATTGAAATCCCATTATCCAGCTGCTGAAAAGCTCGAATTTGGCTCCACTAGTTCTTCCTTACACTCTCGTAAACCTTATTACAGGACAAATTTAAAATAGGTTTGTCACCAGGATATTTTTAACAGAGACTAAAAGAATAGAAATACATGCAAAAACCGAGTGAGCTTTTTTTGGCTAGTGTACCATTAAGGTGTGTAAGGAATATGTGCTCAGAGAGAGCATTTCGACTTAGCACATTTCTAACTAGCACTGAAGTTTCCAAACAATGTCCAATTATCTTAAATGGCTACAAATGGATCTTTAAATATCACAGTTCAAGGTGAAGTTCACACTATGTTTGGAAAAAGGTTTAATGAAAAGTTCATAACAAATTGTAAAAATCTAAATCCTATTTGAATTCATTGACATTTGGTACAGCACACACATTTGCAATATTGGTAAATGTATAATATGTGGCCTATAATAGTCTAGAACTTCCAGAAACTAATGGATTATAGAGGCTTTCTGAACAATCAAAGCATTTTAATCATGACATACTCTAGGGATGTATTGGAAAACTCCCGATCAATCCTGCCTAGAACACATGGAGTCTGTCCATTTGGAATAGAACCTGATTTATTGCCTTATGTGATAAAAAACCACAACAACAACAAAAAACCCTACTCATGGCCATCCAGTCAGTGCTGACTCGTAGTGATCCTTTAGGACTGGGTAGAATTGCCCAAGTGAGTTTCTGAAATGGTAACTATTGAAAGGAATAGAAAGCCCCATGGTTCTCCCACCAGCGGGGTTGTTGGTTTCAAATTGCCAATCTTCCGTTTAACAGCCCAACTTGTAAACACTGTGCCTACAAAGCTCCCTTTGTTCTCTGATAGAATTAGCTTAATTCAAATAGCTCTTCTAAATCGTTTTTGCAATTTTTCTTCACTGGATTTATTAGTAAATATTTCCTCACTATTGATTCAGTTCACTAATTAGAGCCTGAGATATTACTTCAATATTAGTTCATGTTAACTCAACTCTGATTATGTATAACGCATTGATTAAACACTTCATATTAATAATTTCATTGAAGCTCACCGCAGCCTAGGTCACAACCCTATCCTATTACCAGTCCATAAAAAAAAATTAAAAAAAGATGAACCAACAAGCATCCAGAACAGTTTAGGAACTTGCCCACTATAACCCAGCTAGTAACTTGCAGAACCAGGATTAAACTGAGGTAGCCTGAGGCTAGAATCTGTGTGCTTAATCACTGTGTTTTACTGCCTTCTATCCCTTTAATATTAATAAAGGTTCAGTAATTTTTAGCTACTTGCCAGCGTTGCTGAAAGCATTTTACACATAAGAACTCAGTTAGTGCTGAAAGAACGCTTCTGCTCCTCAGTAAAACTTGCTCACACTTCATCTGTTGAAAGCACACGATGAGCTGCTGCTCTGGAGGACTTGATTTCCCCTCTTCTAAAATTCTGTGGGTTTCTTGTGCTCAGTGATGTATGGTTTTGATATGCAGAGATTTGAGAGATGTGATAAATATCTGTAAGAGTGTGACAATTTATATTTCATACTATAGCCCTTGTGTGAATGAATATTTAACAACTATATTGGGTGATTTAATAATTACACTGGGATAACTGTAACCTTGGGGCATATGGTCACCCTAGGTAAAAATACTAAAAGTCTGTTTTAGTGTTTTTTCCTTTGGTTGGTTGGTTTTTTTCTCCCCTGGGTCCAGAAATGTATAGTCCCATCTAATGAGCTTTATGGAATACATTATGCCAACGTGTTTTATAATTATTAGTATAGACAAAATTGAGTACCGTTTTTGGTCCCACTTCTTGATATGAGCTAATCAACTTCTGAAAAGACAGTTCACATTTTTTGATGACTACTATGGTCATATTGCTTTGCACTAGCCACCAGACTTCTTTTGGTTGATAGGAAAGTAGACAGTCACCTAGTTATGTGTAAGTATGCATGTTTGTATGATATGTATAAATATTTAAGCACGCATTAACTCCAAGGATAAACAGTAATGGTCATTGAAGGGATCTGTTATATTTTTATCCACTAAGAACTTCTAAGTTTTAATTTCTAGGAAATGAGTGAAGAAAACCTAAGCTTCTAGGTAAACAGTCTTTCAAGCTATAAGCAGTTATTCCTGCTCCATATTCTTGAATACAAGTTTGCAATAAAATAGTGTTATTTTTAAGCACAAAAACAACTATCTGCTGACCTGAAACAATATTCATTTTGTTATTGTTTTTGTTTCAGTCATTTCATGTGGGAGCCTGTCTTTCCCCCCGAATGGTAACAAGATTGGAACCCTGACAATGTACGGAGCCACGGCCATCTTCACATGTAACACGGGCTACACACTTGTTGGCTCGCATGTCAGAGAATGTTTAGCAAATGGACTCTGGAGTGGTACCGAAACACGGTGTCTTGGTAAATTAATGATCTGACATTAATTTAATTAAAACAGGACTTAAAACTTTATGATAGCTGAGCAAAACATGAACTTCTTGGTATAAATTCTATCTGAACTTTAAATACTGCACTTTACAATATGACTTTCACTTTGATTTCCTAAGGGATTTTTATTTGAAAAATAAATGAAGGTTATCTATTGCCATAAGTGACCAAAAACCCATTTGATAAAGTGCTAAGGTTATAACTCAGTAGATGCAAAAAAAGAGTGTGCAATTAGTATTAATTTTTATACCCATTTTTAAATTTTTAAATATGATTTTAGTAAATATGGTGAAATTAATATAAGCCAATGAGATCATAATGAATTAATTACATTTGTATAATATGTTTGTAGTAATTTGGTTTTCCCCACAGATTACTTTTTTCTTTTCAAAAATTAAAAATATATATTGATTAAAAATTATTTTTCTATTTATAAATGTTCTCAATAAACGTGTAAAATTTGAGCAAGTATATTAAGACCTTCATAAATAGTCCTCCCTCAGATTGTCAAGGAACTGCCTTTCATTTTGCCCAGCTCTTTCTGTGTCAGGTTCAACAATTTTGTAATCCCTCAATGGAAATCAAAGTTTTGATTTTATGAATCTGTAGGCTAACATAACTTCAAAAATGACAACAGTGAAAATCTGCTCCTCATTTTACTCAGGCGATATCGCAAGAGGGAAATAAAGTAAAGTAATAACTGGAGAAATGAACCAACAAAAGAATGAGATTCCAAGCTGCTTCCACTTATTTTAAATTCCTATAATATTTATGTGAATTAAGCTTAAATGCTTCAGCATATGTAAGTGTTGGTATAGACACAATATACTTCAGTATATTTTTAAATTTTCTTATGGCATATATAGCAAGCATTTCAGGTTTAGGATCATTAATGCTTCCAAGATTTCTTGAACAACTTTTCCTGCTCTTAAAAATTAGCCTGATAATTGAGTTCCACAGACCTTAAGGAAGCTATGGTAGGACAGATGTCTTCTCTGGCAATGTCAATGGTATTTGGAACTGCAGCAGGGATCCTGATGGTCCGAGAGATGTATTTGCTCAATATTAATTGTATATGGAAATTAATAAGTTGTAAATGACTACTGGTTTACATAACCCATGTTGTAGTTTAGTTAATCTATACCGACAGTGACTGTGGGATGTAGGAAAGCAGTTGTTGAAGCTTCAGAAAGGTCGAGCAGTGCTTCAAGGTTATAGAACTCTTAGGTTAAAAGTGAGCGTGACTCTATTGTTCTCAAAGGATCTGGATCTCATTTGTGGTAAAAGAACCCATCGGTATCTTATTGGTCCCTACTAACCGTTACCTATTTTGTGAAAGACATTTCTGCCCATTTTACAGAAAATTGACCCAACAGAATGTGGTAATTTTCATTAATATCACACACAAGTAAAATTTTGCTGAAGAAAATTTAGGCAATACATCAATGTAAAGTTGCCAGAATTTCAAGTTGTATTCAGAAGAGAGAGTAGCAAAAGGGCATTATTGCTGATGTCAGATAAGCTTTGGCTGAAAGCAGGGAATGCCAAGAGGATGTTTACATGTGTACCATTGACTGTGCACAGGCGTTAGACATCACGGATCATCATAAACTCTGGTTAACGTTGAAAACAATGGGACTGCAGAGTATTTCCTTACGCTCATGCGGCCCCTGGACACACACCTAGAGGCAGTCATTTGAACAAACGAGGAACGATTATGTGACTGGAAGTCGGACAGGTGGGCCTCTGGGTTGTTTCTTTCACCAAAAGTATTCAATCTGTGTGGTGAGCAGTCTAAGAAGCTGCACTAAATGAGGAAGAATGCACCATCGACGTACAAGGAAAACTTATTAACAGCCTGCAATTTGCAGGTGAAACAACTTTGCTTGATGAAAACTCGGAACACTTGAGGCACTTGCTGATGAAAATCAAAGACTGCAGGTTTCAAGATTAATTATAACTCAATGGAAAGAAATTGGAAAAAGCCTTTGAATTGAACCAAAAGAAGCATGATAATAAAAGGAGGAACTATTGAACCTTTCAAGGATCTGTGTTCTTTGGGCCCATAAGCCACATTCGTGGAAGCAGCAGGCAAGCAGTCAAGCGGTGTGTTGCCTGGGGAAGATCTAGTTCAGAAGAACTCGCCAACACATTCAAGAGTAAGGATTTCACTTAAGGACTCATGTCCATGTCTCTCACGATCGAGTATTTTAAATTGTTTCATCTGTATGAAGAGGCTGGACAATGAATAAGGAAAACGAGGAAACATTATTTTCACTATGGAAGTGTTGAAGAAAATTGAAAGTGCCAGCAACTGCCAGAACAAGAAACAAATCTTTTGGACAAGTAAATCTAGCCAGCATGCTCCTGCAAAGCTGGCACAGTGAAATTTCCTCTCCTGGACTTTCACCATGCTGGGAGCAGAGACCAGTCCCTGGAAAAGGACGTGATTCGTGGTGCAGTAGAAAGGCAGTGAGAAAGAGGAAGACCCTCTAATTGATGAATTGACACAGTGGCTTCAACCACAGCCTCAAACAGGAGAAGGGTGTGAGGATGGTGTAGGACCAGGCAGTGGACTTTTCGGCGGGACCTATTGCGTGACTATGGGTCAGAACCGACTCAATGGCACAAAAAACAACAACAGGCTGGATAGGAAGCATTGACAGTGTGGAAGTGTCCACATGACCCAAAGCAACTGATAATGCAATGCTGAGCCGATTTCAACTTCATTCTGATTAAAGTGCACCTAACAACAACAACATTTTGTGGTTTTCTCCCAACTGAAAATTAGAACTTCATTGTACTAAGAATATGCCTATTTTAATAGAGAGTTGGGCAAAAATGCCCCAAATAAGGCTTTGCTATGATGGAATACATCTTAGAAGCTGTGGGATCCATTTAAAAATGAATCCATTTAATCAGAAAAAAAATTGAAATTGAAAATAATAAATGATAAAAATGCTCAGATTATCATGTATAAAACATTGTAATTGAAATTTTTGGTTTAGAATATATGAAAGTATAACATTGGTGGAGGCACAGGAAAGAAAGATAATATTTGTAAAAGATTATATATAATTGACACATATCCTTATATACATACAAATCAATAAGTAAAGAATTGGTAAAAGAGTCAATATAAATAATATGAAGTTAGCATATATATTCATGGTTATTACAGTGATTATAGATTGCTGGTGAGTAGACTGCATAGCTGTAGTAAAGGCATTGGAGTTTGGAGGGGTGGTGGTGGCATATATTACCTCCTCTGGCTTCCCAACGCCAAGGTCAGACGCATCTCATTGCTCCATTCTTCTTTAGCGATTCTTAACTTACCCTTTCCTCCCCTGCCACTAGACATCTACACTGGGTTGGATAATTCATCAATAGCCACACAAAACTCATCAAAAATATCTTACAAGTAAAAGGGTTTATTTGGGGACTTAACGGGTTCCCACAAGTCAGGGTCATCAAATCACTGATAATCATTGATTTCAACAGCACCTCTCTTCAGCCAGAAGCCAAGTCTTTCTCTGGTCCTCAGCCTCTCCGCCATGTGGTCCCTTGGTTTCTGCTGCTGTGGGTCAGGAAGCTCAGCTATTGCTCTGTTTCACAATCCTCTATCATGGAGTGGATCCTCTGCTGTGTCTCATGGTTTTCTTGCTTTGGCCTCTGGTTCTTTTGCTCTGTTCCATGGTTTCCATGCCACAGTGTCTGGTACCTCTGATCTCAACCTCCATCATTTCAGACAGAGATTTTGAATGTGCTTTTTCCTTCAGATGGTCCTGGGGTTTCTGTCCGTGTCTGAGATGGCTCTTATACACAGAGGAATGAATGGTGGTGCAATTTTTGTCTTTTAGTAGACCATATCCCCAAGGAAACAAAGAGTGTGATTTGGCTCACACCCTCTACTAAAGTCAAGATGAAATCCCTCATTAATCTTGTCTCTTAGCAGAGCAGAGAGCTCCCTCTGACTTGATATTCCAGCCAAGGGTCTGGAGTCCAGAATAATAAGACATGTCATAAAGAATTATGGTTAAAAAGGCCACATTATTTGACTATATCTCAATAGTATAACCCAGTGGGAATGCATGTCTATGGAAAATATGAAGTTGTAGTGAGACATAGAGGAGAATATATTTTTTAAACCATTTTATTGGGGGCTCATACAACTCTTATCACAATCCATACATACATCCATTTTGTCAAGCACATTTGTACATGTGTTGCCCTCATCATTCTCAAAACATTTGCTTTCTACTTGAACCCTTGGTATCAGCTTCTCATTTTTCCCCTCCCTCCATGCCACCCCTCCCTCCTGAACCCTTGATAATTTATAAATTATTACTTTGTCATACCTTATACTGTCTGTTGTCTCCCTTCACCCATTTTTCTGTTGTCCATCTCCCAGAGAGGAGGTTATATGTAGATCCTTGTAATCGGTTCCCCCTTTCTACCCTACCTCCCTCCGCCCTCCTGGTATTGCCACTCTCACCACTGGTCTGGAAGGAATCATCTGTCCTGGATTTCCTGTGTTTCCAGTTCCTAACTGTACTAGTGTACATCTTCTGTTCTAGCTGTATTTGTAAGGTAGAATTGGTATCATGATAGTGTATGTGGGGTGGGGTAGGGGTAGGAAGTATTTAAGAACTAGAGGAAAGTTGTATGTTTCATCAATGCTACACTGCATCCTGACTGGGTTATCTCCTCCCCACACCCTTCTGTAAAGGGATGTCCAATTGCCTACAAATGAGCTTTGGGTTCCCAATCTGTACTCCCCCTCATTCACAATGATATAGTATTTTGTTCTTTGCTGCCTGATACCTGATACCTTCAACACCTCATGACCACACAGGCTGGAGTGCTTCTTCCATGTGAGCTTTGTTGCTTCTGAGCTAGGTGGCCACTTGTTTATCTTGAAGACTTTAAGACCCCAGACACTATATTTTTTTATAGCTGGGCACCATCAGCTT